TGTGACCTATTGACCTCTTGTATTAATTCCCTCTTATCTTTCTATTGGTGTCTTTTATTATGGTGGTACAGCTTTTATCTTGCTATTACCATGTGCTGTAGTCATTCTTATTGGTAGCTTTTATCTATGAACAGAACTCGTTATTTTTATTTATCCGTTATCAATGTTTGAACCTTTTATTGTTTTATGTAAAGCACTTTGGTATGCCCAAGGCTTTTAAATGTGCTCTATAAATAAAGATTGTTGTTGTTGTTGATGAGTGGTCTTTGTGTTTGTCGTGCAGCGCCTGCGTGAGGGCGTGGTCAGGGATCTGGAACGGCTCGAGCGCAGGAAAGAGAACCTGCGGATGCTGGAGGAGCAGCGGCTGCTGACCCAACAGCTGGAGGAGGAGAGACGCCGCAGGGAGGCCAGGCTCCACCCACAGGACACCTGAGAAAAGGTAAACACTGTTGTGGACCTACGCTATCGCGTTCCCGAGTCTCCTTACGACTGGGTCACCTGTAATGTTTCTGCTCTTGTGTAGATTGCAGCGGTCACCTGCCCAGGTGTGCCGTACCTGAAGCAGGATGATGGACAGCAGTGGCGAGCAGCTGGTGGGAGGGGAGGACGAGGCAGCCTGCACATCGGCGTCGGACGGTCTGGAAGAGGGGGAGGTGGAGGGCGAGACGCTGCTGATTGTTGAGTCGGAGGACCAGGGCTCTGTGGACCTGTCACATGACCAGAGCGGCGACTCCCTGACCAGTGACGTGGGTGAGGACACCGACGGGGGGTGGGCCTGCGAGGACATGTCCTTCTACTGCGACCGCTGCCACAAGTGGATCCCCGCAGGTGAGCTGGCCAATCGCAGCGCTCCATTTCTGACGTGACCGACGTCACTACCTTCTCCAGTAGGTGGCGCTACCTGCTGCCGAGCAATCTGAAAATGTGACATCAGCAGACCGCATGCCACCGATTGGCTGGTCAGGTGTGTCATTCTGTGAGTCATGAGAGCGAGTCTTTCGGGAAAATTGAAACCTGCGGCCCACGAGTCTGACAAAACGCCGCGGACCGAGCAGGAGGCACGCCATCGCCTCGGCGTCCTGCTTTGTTCTCGTTCATGTCGCGCACAAGTGATGTCACAGGATGCTCGGCCTTGTTGCTATAACAACCCAACGCAATCAAGTCTGTGGGTTCCCGGCGACACCACAGTTGTAGCTACAGGGTCGGACGATATGCTGAGAGCGTTATGGCAGGAACAAAAGGGATCCAGACGCTCCGCTGCGTTCGTGCTCCCACCGCGTGCCGGCCGGTCCGTCTCACATGGCGCTCAATAAAGCTGTCACGCGAATCAACGGTCGTACCCGCTGAACTCTGAAGCGAGATCTGCACTTCTGCGCGCGGTAGCTTCCTCCACATGGCGCCACCTTCAGGCACGAGCTCCTCCTCGCGTGTGCACGAACGCCGTTTAGCCCAGCTCCAGAACACGGCGTGAGCGTGCTCTCGGTTAAGTGTCACACGACGCGATGGACAATCACATGATATGAGCCCTAATGTGACCTCTGACCGTGCTGTAAGCAGGTATGAGAGTAAAGGTGAGGTCTGATGTGGTGTGGGTGGAGCCAGACAGGAAGCTGTTAGTCCAGCTTGTCTGCAGCTTCATCGGTTGAGAGCAGGCACTGGTGGTAACCTAGGAGACCCAGCAGGTGTGCGGCAGCATCTGACTCTGTACCTGTGATCGTCCCCAGCTCAGCTCCGCGGCGAGCAGCCAAGCTACCTGAAGGGAGACAACTTCTTCAAATTCGTCTGCTCCGACTGCTCCGAAGATGGCAAGGAGAGCTTTGAGAGGATGAGGCTCACCTGGCAGCAGGTAGGACTTTAGCCCCGCCCACACACACACAGACACACACCTCAGATATGCGGCGTGCTGACGGCGGCTTCTTCCTGCAACAGGTGGTGATGTTGGCCATGTACAACCTGTCTCTGGAGGGGACGGGCCGGCAGGGCTATTTCAGGTGGAAAGAGGACATCTGCGCTTTCATTGGTCGACACTGGAACTTCCTGCTGGGCTCGAGGTCGGTCGCAGACGGACAATAAAGTTTTGCTCTCCATCGTTAACGTGCCGGCGCTCACGTTCGTGTTGCGCTCTTCTTTGCAGGAAGAAGACGTCCACCTGGTGGAGCACGGTAGCGGGCTGCCTGTCGGTCGGAAGCCCCGCCTTCTTCCGCTCCGGAGCGCAGGAGTTCGGTGAGCCCGGCTGGTGGAAGCTGGTCCACAACCGACCTCCGACCCTGCGACCAGAAGTGGACAAATCCGTGACAAAGACTAAAGGTAAGCCGCGATCGAACGCTGGCTCCCAACTGGACGGTGTCTGTTGACCTCTGACCTTGGACGCCATTTACCCACAGCGTCCAAACCCGTGCTGGACCCGATTATCACCGTGGAGGGTCTGCGCAAACGCGGAGCTCGGAACCCCGTGGAGAACGCCATGCAGCTGAAGGAGAAACGCTCGCGCACTCAGGAGGCCAAAGAAATCCGGCGGGCCCAGAAGGAGGCGGCGGGTGGATACACGGACCATAGCGCTGCCTCCACGCCTGTCAAACTGGGTGGAGGCCGTGGTGCAGGTGGTGGGCGGCGCCCAGATCTGGTCCTGGAGAAGGGCGAGGTCATTGACTTCTCTTCGCTCAGCTCCTCAGACAGAACGCCACTCACCAGCCCGACGCCATCGCCTTCACCTGACTTTTCTGCCCCGGGAACGCCAGCCTCGCATTCGGCGACGCCCAGCCTGCTGTCGGAGGCAGACCTTATCCCTGATGCCATGCCGCCACAGGCGTTGTTCCACGGTGAGGTAACACCTGATTGGTGCAGGGTCATGTGGTTTTATGTGATGTAAGCACTGATGGCGTGTTCTGCTTCCTCCAACTCAGATGATGAGGAGATGGAGGCGGAGGGGATGATCGACCCGGGAACAGAGTACATCCCGCCTGCCAGTGCCAACCTGGGCACCCGCAAGAAGCTCCGCCCACCACCGCCTCACATCAAGCGTGAAGCAGAGAGCGAGGAAGACGAAGGCCGTGACCACGACTTTGAAGAACCCGTAGGACAAAGTGAAGACACCCCGCTGTCCGCAGGCGGCGGTGGCGGGGGACCTGAGCGCAGAAGGATGACTCATCCGGAGAACGCTGCCGGCAACGCCCAGAGCCCTCGCTACGCCGCTCTCAGTCTGTACGAGGAGAGGATGCTGCTGCGAAGGCTGGACGCTTGCCCGCTCGCGTTGGCCGTCACGCCGCAGGCTAAACGCCTCCACAGGAAGTTGCTGGTTCGCCAGATAAAACGACAGAGGAGGCACCCCCTGCTGGACATTGACCGAGTGGTCAGCGCCACCCTCAGCCTGGTGGGAGGGATATATGGCGCCCAGGAGGCGGGAGCACAAATCGGCGGCGGTGTGAAAGGGAAGTACTGTACCAGCAGCCAGGAGCTGCGGATTCTCGATCGCTTCCAGGTAACGCACACACTTCCTGTCCGTCCACGTGACGCGCCCGCGTGCACCAATCACTGCAGCTGATGCAGCGTTCACACTGTTCGCTTCACCTGTCCGTGTATTACAGACGGGCGTCTCCGGCAGGCGAGGAGTCCAGCAGCCGTCCGTGTCCTTCTGGCATCGTCTGATGGGAGCCGAAGGAAGCCTGGAGCAGACCATCAGGAGCCCGTACACCTCCCGCCTCCTCAAACCCTACATCAGGTAAACCTCCGGGTCAGAGCCACACCTGTGGTCGGAGAGTCCTCTGAGCTTCCTGCGAGGTGGAGGTCTAGGGCTGTGCGATATGACCAGAATCTCACGTCTAAGACATCTATCGTCCGATAACGATATAAATCACAAATGTAACATTTTCTGTAAGTTCTGTGAACCTCGGGCAGCTCGTCTTGTGTGAAGTGTTTCCTGCTGGGCGTCGTGTAGCTGAGTCGAGTGTTTTAACGATGCTTGAAACGACACGTTTTTAGACATAAGTTGTAACGGCGCCGTTTTCTTTGAGTATTTATTACACGGCGTGCTGCGGGGAGAAGCCTGTTCTAACGTTTGAGTCTAAGCTTTATTTTGTAGCATCCGTAAACACTCTGCATCTTTCATGTTTTCATTTACTTTGAAAAGTCTCAACAGGATCTTGAGCTTTATTGTGAAAGGTTTATGTGGAACATAAACAAGCGGACATGCAATGGTTTTACCATCGTTGTTGCTAACGACGACGCATAAAACCAGGCGCTTGTGCGTCCGTAGTGTTTATATTAAATCTAAGAGAAAGAGAACTTTAAGAAATGAATAATAACTACAGGGACATCAGAACACGAAAAATATTACCGCAAACAGTTTATTTTGCGACACCACGAAACAAACGATAGACGTTTTTATATCGTTATATGGAACAGCCCTATGGAGGTCCACATCCGCGTTCTCCATCTTTCTTTTCTTTTGTCTAGGCGGGACTACGAGAGCCGTCCGCCGAAGCTCCGGCTGCTGGCCGAGATCCGAGCGTACCCGCACAGGAAGGAGCCGGGCTGGGCACCTGAACCCGACGCTCCCATCGACTACTGCTACGTCCGTCCAAACCACATCCCCTCCGTCAACGCCATGTGTCACGACAGCTTCTGGCCAGGTAGCACGCTTGCCCGTTACGCCCCGTGGCGCCGTCCGGCCGTGGCTCAGACCTCCGTCTGCTCCTCCCACAGGTGTGGATCTATCCGAGTGCCTGCAGTACCCTGACTTCAGCGTGGTCGTCCTTTACAAGAAGGTGGTGGTGGGCTTCGGCTTCATGGTGCCGGACGTGAAGTACAACGAGGCCTACATCTCCTTCCTGCTCGTCCACCCCGAGTGGAGGCGGGCCGGCATTGGGACCTTCATGATTTACCACCTGATCCAGGTGCGACTGCAGGTGGGCGGGTCGGGGCGTCCGTGCTGCTGCGACCATCCTAACGTGTGTGTTTGTGCGTGTTTCAGACGTGTATGGGGAAGGACGTCACGCTGCACGTGTCGGCCAGCAACCCCGCCATGCTGCTGTACCAGAAGTTCGGTTTCAAGGCCGAGGAGTACATCCTGGACTTTTATGATAAATATTACCCCGTGGACAGTGCAGAGTGCCGCCACGCCTTCTTTCTGCGACTGCGGCGCTGAGCCCTGTCCGCAGCTGACCTGCACCTGAGGCAGGTGTGCAGCTGTGAGTGCTGTGAGGAACATCTGGGACTGTGTGTGTGCTGCTGTTTGTGTTTCTGAGGTATTAAAACCAACGTGCTGAAGCTCCGCCTACTCTCTCGCCTGCTTTACACTCGATCGCCCTCCATCCTAACCACTCGCTGCAGTCTGCCATCAGCACGCTGCTGGGAGCGAGCAGGACAGGCAGGAACTGTTACTCTGCACATTTCAAATCCAGGTGCGCTCTCACGCCACGCGGTGTGCACGCAGACGTTAACAGCGCTTCAGTTAGAGCGCCAAGTTTCAAGTGTTACTGTCATGTACAGATAAACAGAGCAGCCACATCTACCTATAATGAAATTCTTTGGCTCGTGCTCCTCAGCTTTACATGAGCATATGGAGAGTGTGCAGAAAATAGCAGAAACAACAATGAAAAAGAGAAAAGGATTCAATATTTAAAGAATTGATGACAAGTTGGTTTTTACAGGCTGTGCAAAACTTGTGCAATGAGCATGTAAGTGGCATTAGTTGAAGTGACAGTCCTGTAATCGTAGTGAGTGTGTAATGGTGTGTATACTGTCAGCAGTTCAAAAGCCTGATGGCTTGTGGGTAAAAACTGTCTTTGCATCTGGTAGTGCAGGTCTGGTTGCTCCTGCTGGACGTGTGAAAAGTCTGTGGCCGGGATCTGCTGCGTCTTCCTCATGCAGCGCTGTCTGCACAGATCCTGCAGGGCTGCCAGTTCAGTCCTGGTGATGCGCAGTGCTGATCTCACCGCCCCCTGCAGAGCTTTGTGGTGCAGAGCCGTACCAGGCGGTGATGCAGCCAGTCAGGATACTTTTAATGGTGCATCGATAGGTCGTTCGTATTCTGGGGTTCATGCTGAACCTTCTCAGGCGCCGCAGGAAGAAGAGCCGCTGTCTTGCTGCTCTTGTGATGACACCAACATGGTGTGACCAGCTCAGATCCTCGCTGATGTTGATGCCCAGGAATCTGAATCAGCTGACTCTCTCCACTTCTGCTCCACGATGTGGATGGGGCGTGGCCTCCTCTCCTGTAATCCACGATGAGCTCCTGGTTTTACCAGCATTTATACATGTGCACAAACAAAGAATTACTGAAGCGAAGTCATGCTCTCATCGTTCGGTCTGAGCCGGCACACTGGATGTCAGTCGTAAGATAATCTAAATCTAATTTGGCATCTTAATGTAAGATAATCATAACGTGCTTTACTGTAAGTTTACCTTTAAATCCATTTTACTTAAAGAGGCTTTTTCTCACTGGAGGATTACATACATATCACGTTCATATTAATTACGAGGCACTTTGTTTGGCAACCCTCCCCCCCCCCCCCCATGCAGAAAGATGTGAACACCTCTATCCTGCACATGCTCAGTTCATCGGGGTCAGACAGCCTGGTGTCAGAGGTGAAGGTGACAACTGGTTTATTTCCAGAACCACCAGCAGGGGGAGCTGCAGGAAACATTTCTGGACACTTTAACTCTGACACGTGATTGTGTGCAGGGTATTTGCTATTGTGTTTATGTTGTTGATGCAGTGTAACTAGTTAATAATAACAAAACCCAACAATCATATGAGCAGCACTTTGGTGACAGTGGGAAGGAAAAACTCCCCTTTAACAGGAAGAAACCTCCGGCAGTAGAAACCTCAGTAGTACACACGGCGGATGGAGCAGTTTTTATGAACAGTAGCTAACCTCCACCCGGCTGGCTGTCCGAGCCGAGGCAGTCACAGTCTGGAGGGCTCAGAGAGCCGTCTCGACTCTTCACGTTTATCCAAGTTTGTGTCACCAGAAGAAACTCCAGATATCGAGAGGTGAAGAAGTCATTCAGTCTTATCTGTTAGTGACCGGCCATGAACCAGAGCAGCCTGCTTCACACAGGTCACAGGCCGGATGAGATGCACAACCCCGGGGATGAAGGCTCCGCCCTCCCTCTGCTGAGGCTGACAGGGACATGTGGAGCTCAGGTACGATCCCCCTGGCGAGGAACCACCTGAGGTCCAGGACCACAAGAACACAGCAATGCCTCATTAGACAAGGACTAAACTTTACCAACACACCAGCCCGTTTCACCGTCTGTGGTTGTGGAATCATGCTGCCAGTGTCACCTGTGCAGGTGTTCAGTAAATGTTGTAGGGGTGGTGTTCATGGTTAGCTTTGTCAGACTGTTAGACAGTAAGCTGTGACTGAAACATACGTGGAGGATGAGTGTGGACTGTCCTTGTACCTGATGAAGGTCAGTCTGAAGCGCCGGGTCGCCCCCTGCAGGAGCAGCAGTACACAGAAAGGTCTCAAACCTTAAACCATTCTGTAATTTCCAGCTGGGGGCGACTGCCCAGTGTTAGTCCCCATAGGGAAATAGTTCCTCTGCATTGAACCCATTCACCCAGTGAAGCAGTGGGCAGCCACCAATGCAGCGCCTGGGGAGCAGTGTGTAGGGACGGCACCGTGCTCAGGGGTACCTCAAGGTAGCCGTTCAGTGGAGTTGAACCCCCGACCTTCCGATCATGGGGCCACCACTCTACCTACTGAGCTATTCCTGCCCCTTTTTTTTAAATTATTTTTTTATTAAAGTCTGAGAGAAAATGAACAGCCTGATGACCTCTGACCTCCGTGAACTCTCTACTTGCTGCTTTCAAGTGTTTTGAAGTTTATTTTGGAGGAACAGGAAGCAGCGCACCATAAACGAGATCAGGTACTTGTTTTTCTGTTTTATGGGCGGAGCTGTTAAATCAGACTCTAAAATAAAGAGAAGTCTCATCCCGAAATATTTTATTACTTGAACCTTGGCAGACACCTCGACACGTAAGTAAAGTTTATTTATTAAGCGCTTTTCGTAGACAGTCACAAAGCGCTGTACGCGAAGGTTAAGATAAACAGAACGTTAGTAATAAAATAGACAATATAAACAATCTCAAAGTTAAATGTAAATAAAAAATGTTCAAGGCGTTGATCAACAGAAGGCTTGTTTAAACTGAAACAGCCTTTGTACAGCTTGGAGGCAAGAAAGAGAAGATCTGTCCAAGCTGGTAAACAGGACGTGACAATAATCTAAACAACGACACAAATGCATGAACACTTTTCCAGATCAGCTGAGGAGACCATATGTCGCCGTTTAGAAATGTTCCTTAAATGAAAGAAACAGGAACAAGACAGAGATTTTACAGAGTCGAGGCCCAGAGACGAATCAGATATTTGACTTAACAGAAAGAAGCAAGAACCTGACTGACTTCAGATTGTAGTCCAGGATGAGTTACGATCGTTGTCTCGGTCTGGTTTGTGTTTAAAACAAGGTAGTTGTTAGAAAGCCAATCAGAAACCTGAGTTAAGCACTGGACTAGGGTGGACAGCAACTCCAGCTGAGTAGGCTGACACATGCAGCTGAATGTCATCGGCATAGAAATGATAAGAAATGACTGAATAATGCAGCTAATGGAAGCATGAAAATAATAATGGACCCAAAACTGAACCCTGTGGAACCCCACAGGTTGGGGGGCGACGTTAGAGGTGAACCTGTCAGTCCTAACAGTAAAGCTCCTGTCTGATAAGTAGGAAGAAAACCAGGTAAGCCGGAGCCAGATATATGCGCCAAAACCTGTTAGCTTGTTAGCATTTTTATGGTCAATGCTATCGAAGGATGCGCTGAGACAAAGCAAAACGATCACAGAACAATTCCTGCATCAGAACCCACCAACAGATCCCAGAGATCCGGTCTCAGTGGAAACCGCACTGAAAGGGTCCAAAATCTGTAATCTGCATGTCTGCGCTGACAGGAAGTGATGTCACTTTCTGAGCTGTACACATCACTTCACGTTCAGACCAATCAGAAAAAAAAATCAGCTTCATCTTGAGTTCATGATTCCCAGTTTGCCCAGTCCAGTCTGAGACGCCAGCAGAGACGCCATGCTGCTGCAGCCCAAGCTCGCCGCCACATCATACGCCGTCTGACCCGCAGCGTTCCTCCACCTCACGTTGGCCTTACAGCTGAAACCAGGGACAGAGAGGATGATGTCATTATGACAAGTGGGAGGAGCAACAACTGCAGGTACTGTGCTGCATTCAGTAGCAACTTGGAACTTTCAATCTCAGTCAGACCCGGCACACTGTTGCCACACCAACCGTCTCTCGTTCAAGATCTAAGAAGCTTTGACTCTGAAACACACCTGCAGGCGGCCGTGTTTACACAGAGACACTGAATGCAGCATTTAACTCAGACTCACCTGAGCAGGACCTCAGCACACGGCACACCTGCAGACCCCAGTGCTGCAGCTTCATGCAGAGCAGTGTTCTTCATCCTGAGGAGGAGGAGGAGTGTCACCACACACGAGCATCACAGGGTCTAAATAATGGAAGCTTGTAGCTACAAGGACCAATCAGAGGGCTCCATCAGCACCTCATCCAGAATCTGAAGCAACCAGTGTGCGGGCAAGTTTCAGGTAAGTACAGTGAAGTGGGCGGAGTCTATGGGATGTTGTTATGATGAATGAAGACCTTGAAGGTGATCTGCTCAATCCACGAGTCTGAGAACCGTCAGCCAATCAGAATCATGCATGAAATCAGCTGATAATAATTGATCAACAAATTGATTTATTAAGTCATGTACTAACAGAGACTTGGAGGAGAGAGACCTAATATTTAATAATCCACATTTCACTGTGTTACTCTTTGGTTCAGATGTGGATACTGTATTGTTCTTTCTTTGTGATTGTTTATGTTTAAGTTGTTTGTTGCTGGTTTTTAGTTTGTTTTTTGTCTGTTTGGGAGCTGACACAGTCTCTATGGAGATGGGTTTTTGGGGGTAGCAGGAGGAGAGAAGCTGCAGAGAGGCGTGTAAGACTGCAACTCTGCTTCCTGGTCCCAACTCTGGATAGTCATATTTTGGGGGGTTTAATAAATTTGTCCATGTTTCTAGAAATGAGAGCTGCTCCATCCAAAGTGGGATGGATGCCGTCTCTCCTAACAAGACCAGGTTTCCTCCAGAAGGTTTGCCAATTATCTATGAAGCCCACATCGTTTCTGGGACACCACTCAGACAGCCAGCAGTTTAAGGAGAACATGCGGCTCCTGGTCTGATTGGGGAGGGGACCAGAGAAAACTACAGAGTCCCACAACGTTGCACACGGATTCAATATTGATTTTAGTGACCTCCGATTGGCGTAACCGGGTGTCATTACTGCCGACGTGAATTATGATTTTACTGAATTTACGTTTACCCTCGCCAGCAGTTTCCGGTTTGGGGTTGCTGCTCTGGTACTGGGGGCGGGCCCTCAGTAGACACACCTGTGGGATCACGTGTCACCTTGCTCTAGCTGTAAAAAAATAAAAAATAAAAACCTGGTCTTACCGTCCAGACTGTTGGTCGACGTCGGCGCCTCGCTGCACCAAAACAGGTAGGACGTCATGGTGACCATTTACCACGGCAACAGCCAAGGCGTGTAGGCCATCGCTCCGGCAGCAGGAAGGGTCCGCCCCCTGGCGAACAACCGCACACACAAATGTAAAGCGCGTCAGGTGACCCTGAGCAGGCTGTCGGTGCACGCAGAGGCTGGTACCTGGTCCAGGAGCTGCTGGATGACGCCGACCTCACCTCGACCCGGACCCAGCTCCGTCAGCAGCTGAACGTCCTTCACCTGCAGCCAGACAGCCAATCAGAGAGGAGCATGAACAGGTACAATCAGCGAGGAACTGAACTCAGCTGTGGGCGGAATTTCTCACCAGCGGTTTGGGCGTCAGGTAAGGTTTGGAGGGTGGAGCCGAGAGCTGATCACTTCCTGTCCGACACCAAAATAAAAGCACAGATCGATCAGCAGCTTCTGATTGGCTGATGTAAATGAAAAACCAATCACACTTTCTTCGATTGAACATGGCACACACACACACACGTACACTGACACAGACCTACACTCACCCCCCCTCCAAGCTCACGTCTTCCATGTTGTGAAATGTGATGATTCCTGTGCTGAGGTGGATCTCCCTGTTGGAGCTCAGTCTGGGGGGGTGTCTTTTTCCTCCTCGTCTTTCCTCGTGTTGCTAACTGACGTACTGATTATCAGCTCAGCTCAGGTGTAATGATACAACATAAAGAGGTCCCGCCCCTTTCACACTCTACTCTGTTCTGACTGGCCAACACCAGAGCACTCCCCAGCAGGTATCTTACCAATAACATGCCTGCTGGTTAATCGGACCAACACAGGTCTAAGTCTGAGGTCGGTTTTGGTGAAATCCGAGGAATCTAATTGGCTGAAATGTTGAGCTGAATGTCTGTGTGTCACATGGGCTCTCACCTGTCCACCCTGTTTGCTCTGCAACGCTGCTCAGAGTCTTGGTCCAGCTGGCGAGCTCAAATCCTCCACCTGGAGATCCCATGTCATCGTCAGCACCCACCTGAGACCACACCCCACTCGTTAAACTCGTTAAATAACCACGATGTTCTACGCTCAGCCCACCTGTTCCAAACACACCTGTTTTTCTTGAAGCTCGGCTGCTGCAAAGCTGACGGTCAGACTGACCTCACGGCGATCCTCCTGAATCACCGCAGAGACCATCTGCAAGGAAACACCACAGGAAGTGACCTGCCTGCACCTGCTCATGTAAAACCACCTTCTGATTTAACACACGGCGATGTCACTGCTGGACAGGTGAAGGGCGTGTGAGGTGTGATTTACCCGGCCCAGACGAGGCTCTCCCAGCAGCGCCCTGAAGGGGGCGTTGTTCTGGGCATAGCTCCTCAGGTGAGCGCATATGTGATCCAGCTGCTTCCTCCAGTAACCTGAACATGAAAGGTGTCACACACGGAACGACGCCTCTGTAACCCCGCCCCCGACACTGAGACTGTGAGTTGGGTTTTACCTCGTCCCGGGCTGATGGCGGTGAGCGGTGGGTGGCGGTCGCTCTGCACCTGCTTCCTGAGGAGCTGTAGCGCTCTGTGCTGCTCCTTCCTCTGCAGCTCAGTGCCTGATGGGTAATAGAGTCCTACAGTCTGTGTGCACTGATCCACAGTGGGTGTGGCAATTTTCACACTTCGCGGAGGGTGCAAAGAGGCAGTGGCCCGCCAGGTGGCACCACAGGCAGTCTGCACTCCCACCTGCACACAAAAGGAGGGAGCTGACTGGCTGGAATCGAAGGCAACACGTGGAAGGCGTGATGTCAACATACCTGGCGGTTGGCGGCGCCCTTGACCGATCGTGTGATGTCACCGCAGGATCCGAGTGGGACTGGTGCTTCCAGGAAGATGCCGCAGGCGGTGCAGTAGGAAGCGTACGGGTGTGCACTTGCTCCACAACGCTGACACGTCACACAGCGGGCAGCGTGGGCGGGCTGAAAACACACAGTGTCACTACAAATCCCACAATGCCTCACTCCACACTGCTTTAGGTGTCAGGTGTGGGTTCACCTTGGAGCCGCACCAGTCGCAGAATCTCGCGTCGCTCCGGTTTAAACGTTTACATCTGGTGCAGGACAACATTCTGGTGTGCGCTCCTGGGTCAGAGGGCACAGCGCTCCTGGCTCCGCCCACCTGAAGCCATGAGGAGTAAAGAGAGCGTAAACTGTCTGTAGGTGAGGCTGTACAGGTGTGGTCAGCAGCTGCTTACCTGCTGCAAGCGGCTCTCGCAGGTCAGACAGCTGAAGGCGTCGGCCGGATTCCCACTTCCACAGCAGACACACATCACATGACCCTGCATCCACCACAGGTAAACACCAGGGCGTGTGTGTTTGTCTGTGTGTGTGTCTGTGTCTGTGTGTGTGTGTCTGCGTGTGTCTGCGTGTGTGTTTGTGTGTCTGTGTGTGTGTCTGTGTCTGTGTGTGTGTCTGCGTGTGTGTTTGTGTGTCTGTGTGTGTGTCTGCATGTGTGTTTGTGTGTCTGTGTGTGTGTACCTGCAGAGTGATGCCTGCCCGTGGCTGCAGCTGTTGATCGATGGCAGCTTCACACACCAAACAGCTGTGTGTGCTGGCGGGGACTAGAGCCCCACAGAACACACACAGCAACATCTGACGCACACGCACACACACACACGCACAAACACGCACATAGATTCAATGTCAGGTGTTCAGCTGGACATGGCAATGCTCTTACAGGTGAGTGCATGCAGTACCTGTCCTCCCTCAGCAGGTAGCAGCCTGTGACCGGGCAGCAGAGGAAGCGCCGCTCCACACTGAGCGCAGAACTGAGCGAGCGGGTCGGAGGGGCGGCGATGCAGACAGCGAGCACACCTGGATGCACAGAAACTGTTGCTTCATCTGGTTTACACTGTGAAGCCAAAAGTATGTGGACACACCTGCACACCTGGGCAATGAGTGGAAATCAATCAAACTGAATGTATTTATTTAAAAAAGAGAAAATGTTTTCCTCATTTTCCTTCTTCTTGGGACGTTCACCGGCTCTGTTTGACGAGCGGTCCACAAACTTTTGGCTCTGATGGAGGGCTGTACCGTGTGCTCGTACCACAGGAAGTCGGTGTCTCGCTGCACTCGTGTCGTCTCCGTGCTCTTCAGCTGCCTCAGGTCACCTGACTCCCTAAAAACCGCAGGTTGGGAGCGCTGAGATGAGGCGAGCTCGGCGTCAATCTCAGAGCCATGACGACCGTTCAGAAAACGAGGGCCTGACTGAAGGGAGTGATTTCCCATCATCTTTGGCTCTGGACACAGAAAACAGGAAGTGTGAAGCTCTGTGATTGGTCAGATGAAGAGAAAGAGCAGGTTTACCCCCCACCGCCCAAGGTTAAGGGGGAGTTCTTCATTTCGACTGTCTGCCCACACAGTATCCTCTGATTGGTTAGTTTGCTCTGTAATGTTGTACGTCTTTACCTGTCAGTACGGTAAGACTTGAGGTAGCTGTTGTAATGTACCGTATTATGAATAAAGGTGAATTTAACTGAACACACCTGAGGTCTCAGCAAGAAAGGATGTTCCTTCAGGCGGTGGCTGGAAGGCAAAGGAAGCATTTCTGTGAATCATCAGGTGTGTGCAGGGGCAGCTGGGAAATATGGTCTGCAGCAGGCAGGTGCGCGATTACCTGCAGGAAGTCGTCCAGAGGATCCACAGAGAAAACCTTGGTCACTATGGAGCTCTCTCTGCCGTCACTGCAGACAAACATAAACTTTATTGATCTACACTGTGAAAACATCTGCTGCCTGTACGCACTGATGTCAGGTGACCACTCACCTGGTGACAGCCACCGCTCGGACTGTCACCCGGCCTGCAGGCAGCAGGATGGGCTGGCTGTACTTCCTGCTGCTGCCTGCTGCTCCATGATGCCCCGCCCCCGGCTTTGAACCATCCAGAGTGTAAAAGATCAGAACACCTGCAGAATCTGCACAGACACACCTGTCACATGACCTGCTGGATAGATGGATGCTGGGTGGATGAGCAGACGGTTGGTGTTCTACCTGACTGGATGGACACAGGTGTGCTCGTGTCAATGTGGTTCTTGGCTCGATGAGTCTGCAGGTGGATGATGGGAATGATGAGCGGAGCTGACACTGCCCCTGCTGCCATGACAACAACCGTCTGCCAACCAATCAGTTAGTCAATAAATCAGTTGTTCGGTTCCCTTTCAGACAGTAAGACGTCCTCGCCGGCTTTGTCCCAACATAGTTTCACTCATTCATGTTTTTACTCAGTTACTTCTGCTGAGTAGCCTCATACTGTCTCATGCATCTGTAAAATACATGGATGGAGCTGAATCTGTGTCCCAGCACAGAGAACAAACCAAAGAACCGACCGCCTGCTGCACAGAGCAGAGAAGCTCATATCATAACAACAGGTGCGATAATGAACCCTCTGTACACAGAAGCCGGGCGACCAACACGCAGCACGCGTTGGTCGCTCTAGCATCGGTCCATGAAACGAGGCAGGAGCCTGATGGATACGAACTCCCAGAGCGGTGTCCGACAGGAGGGCGGGGATGTCGACGTGCACCTGGGCCGCATAGGTGGTGGCTCATGTTCCTGTAGCTTTATTCTGTAGTACAGAATTCACCTGCTTGCTGCTACTTCTGCACATTCACCTAATGTATAAACTATATATATATATAATGTTCTTCCTCTCCCGCCCCCCCATTTTTGCACATGTCGAGGAGCGTGTCAGGTTACATTTCACCGTGTGTTATACTTCTATAACTATGCATGTGACAAATAAAGAGCTTTGAACCTGTACGGTGGTTCTGCAGTTCTCAGCAGCTTAGTGCGGCCACATCAAACCGCTTTGGAGTGATTCCCCCACTGAACAGTCCTGATCCAGAACCTTTACTTGGAAGAACAAAGCCAGTGCTGACCCACTGCCAGGCGCTGCAGCCTTTCCTGGAGGCTGGTCGCCATCCTCTGAGCTAGACCCAGCAGATGCTTGCCCGACTCTTTGTGTTGTTTGTTAAAATGATCTACCATTGATAAAAAGAGTGTAAAGTTCTAGCTGATCCACCACATTAATTTCATTTTCACATGTCGTGTAGCTTTCTGGATGTTATCCTCATTGGGCTACATACTTATTTATCATACAGACTATACAACACTGAAAATCAAAAATCACATATTTTAAGTATCCGAGATGTTTCATTATTTGGTGTAAAGCCAATTAAACAGACTATGTATATATCCACGTGTATGCTTACTGCATTTGATGTATTTAACCACATTTAATACATATTACAGAATAAAACACCTGTGGAAAGAAACGGCTTTGATTTTGCCACCTCATCTGATTTCCATGCCACCCTAAGAACATGTCTTTAGATGCGCCCCTGCTCCCGGTGACCGTCTGTCTGTCTTCTCATCTGTCGTCTCCAAACATCACAGCGGGTCTTGCAGCCTTCTACATCAGGCCAGACACTTGTCTCCACCACCCGTGACCCAGTGGGACATGCAAGTTACTGGTGTGTGTCCTCTGAGAAGACTGAGGTGTTAACATCTCGGGTTTCTGGGAGGGTTTCCTGTTTTCCTGAAGGTTTACCTGAACAAAGCCTGTGATTGGTCCCCGTGTCTTTACCGTCTCTTTGTTAGTTTGACTGAAGCTGCTCTTACTTTCACTGGTTTTTCTGAGCCTTTGAATGGGGCCGGTTCTGGTTCGATGAGCTGCGTATGGCCGGGACACGCCGGTAAATAAAAACAAACAGAGACAGTGTTCTTACCTGGATGAAGGCCCAGGTGATCACCGGGACTGCTGCCGAGTTTACCGGAGTGTCACCATAGCAACGGGCTCTGTCCGCGGGGACGCTTGTTTTAAACGCCTAAACGACAGAGGTGGGCGGTGCTGCCAGTTGTAGTTGTAGTACCCGCCCACCTCTGCGTACTGCGCAGTTAGAAACGTACCCTTTAAAGTTTACATTGGTGAAAAATGACCGTAAAATTTAAAGTCATATATTTCTATATGTGATATATTTTATAAATCACCGGGACAAGCTGCTGTACGTCATCGTCACAGGAACAGAGGCCGCCGGCCTAATACTGAAAAAGACCAGTCAAAGAAATTTATTTAAATAAAATTAAGCAAAGAAAGAAAGAAATACTGTGACACAGTCAGGCCGGGTATCTATGCTTAAACACAAACAAAAGGTCGGGATCTGACCGCGGTGTGTTTTTTAATCAGGCGGATTTCAGGACGCTTCCGGTCGCTTGGGACACGGAAGGACCCCAGCGTGTGCTCGCAGTCAGTCACAATATTAGCTCACAGGCTAACTTAGTAACAGCCCCGCGCAGGCAGGAAGCGCTGGAGATGGCTGAGGTGAAGGTGAAGAAGGAGACGAACCTGTCGGACCCCGTGGAGGTCGAGAACAGGTGAGGGGAGGAGCGGGGCCGGCGGGCCGCTCTGTCCGCGCACCGGACTCCGGACGAATACTGTCGCAATTATCGCCTGTATGGTTCTGCTCGCGCACACAGCGCCTGCGTGCAGTTCATGAACGCGCGTTCACACTGCCCCGCACTGCTGGTCACTTCGGCGTTAATCAGAGTCATCAGCTGGCGTCGCACGACCAACATCTGGACATGTTCTGGTCTTTAATGGCGCCTCTGAGCTAAAGTTTGTGCCTGCTGCTCTTCATGTGCAGCCTGAGCAGCCGAGACAGCAGGCGCAGAAAACGATTAAAACTCAGAGTTTAAACAGAAACAGGTTTACTGTGATTTTTACCTGGTGTGTGCGTGTGTTTCAGGATCAAAGAGCTGTGTCAGCAGTTCCCTCAAGGTATCACGGACCAGGTGATTCAGAACGACATGCCTCACCTGGAGCCACAGCAGAGAGCCATGGCCATCAACAAGCTGCTCTCATTGGTCAGTCTGATGATCTCACTCACCTCCAGAGCGTGAGGAGAATGGCGCTCTTTTTCACTCTGTGTGCTGAGCGGGCAGCAGGTTGATGAGGTGGTTTGTGTTTCAGGGTCAGCTGGACCTGCTGAGGAACAGTGCAGGTCTCCTGTACAGACTGAAGGACTCACAGAGCACCAGGTAAACACACACACAGGTGTAGGAGTGTACTTCCTGTCAGGTGATTGCTGGTGTCTGAGCTGCTTCCTGTCTGTTCTGTCTCAGTAAAATGAAGGGCTCAGACAACCAGGAGAAGCTGGTCTATCAGATCATCGAGGACGCAGGAAACAAAGGTAACTGAGTACTTCCTGTCCCCGTTTGGCTCGCTGCCGTGGCGCGCCGTGACGTCTGCATCTCTCTGCAGGAATCTGGAGCCGAGACATCCGCTTCAAGAGCAACCTGCCTCTGACCGAGATCAACAAGATCCTGAAGAACCTGGAGAGCAAGAAGCTCATCAAAGCTGTGAAGTCTGTGGCCGTGAGTCCGTCACGATCAATAATGGCTGTATCAGCCTTATCGCTGATCAATAATCAATAACATTAGCTGCTGAAAGAGTAAACGTTTATTTAAATATGTGCAGAAAATCAGCTTAAAATGTGGAAAAATTAAAAAACTTTAAGTTCTAATTGTATATATTTTACAGATGTTTACGACAAACATCTGTAAAATATGTAAATCAGCAAAAATCTGGAAACTATAAAACAGTTTGGAAATAAACACATATAAGTAAATAAAAATTAAAGACGCGACGTCTCCGTGCGTTTCCTGTAAACAAACGCTGACTTGACGATGTCATACTTCCTCTCCGCTGGCGTGTTTGTGCAGGCGTCGAAGAAGAAGGTGTACATGTTGTACAACCTGCAGCCCGACCGCTCTGTGACGGGCGGCGCCTGGTACAGCGACCAGGACTTTGAGTCCGAGTTCGTGGAGGTTCTCAACCAGCAGTGCTTCAAGTTCCTGCAGAGCAAGGTACAATAAACTTTATTTCATTGTCCAAACGGCGCCCAGCAGGAGGAGGCAGAGCGGCGCTCTGAGGCGGGAATAGGGCGGGGCGGCCTTCTTTCCTGTCTCAGAGCTGTATGAACCGTCATGTGATCCTCGTTGTGTTTCCTGCGTCGAGGCGGAGGCGGCCCGAGACAGCAAGCAGAGTCCGATGGTTCAGAGGAACAGCTCCTTCGCCACGTCGCACGAAGTCTGGAAGTACATCTGCGAGCTGGGCATCAGCAAGGTGACGTCACACCTCAGACGCACCAATCACAGCACAGCGTTAACCTGCAGACAGCTACACACACACCCATTAGAAACACATTAGAAGCAGCTGGGCGCAGATGCTCAGGCAGGTGAGCGTTACCTGAGGAGGCGGGAGCGTAGACTTTATACCTCATCCTGCGTGTAAACAGTCCCCTGGACTCAGGCTAATGACCCGGGTCCAGGTGTTTAAGGCGGGGTTTAGTTGATCTTTGGCCAATCTGCTTTCCTGGTCAGGTGAATGAAAGCGACCATGAGACGAGGTGAAAGGGTGGGGTCGACAGCACGGACCTATTTATCTGTGCGTGTGAATCTGGTCTGCGTGCTTTCCTCAGGTGGACCTGTCTATGGACGACATTGAGACCATCCTGAACACGCTCATCTACGACGGGAAGGTGGAGATGACCGTGATCGCCGCCAAGGAGGGCACGGTGGGCAGCGTGGACGGGCAGATGAAGCTGTACCGCGGCGTGAACACCATCATCCAGCCCACCGGCCTCGTCAAGACGCCCTGTGGACTCTGCCCGGTAACCCGTTCCGCCCACATGTACCCAGGGCCGCTCTCAGGGCACCCGAACTCATCCCGTCTCCTCTCCGCAGGTGTTCGACGACTGCCACGAGGGCGGAGAGATCTCGCCATCCAACTGCATCTACATGAGCGAGTGGTTGGACTTCTGACGCCACGCGTTCCTCTGTGACGGAAGCTTCACTTCCTGTTCGTCACAGACGTGAAGAAGCTGGCGGCCTTAGTTCCTGTGACGATGGCGTGCAGCAGTGTGTCCCGGTTCTGGTTCTGGAGGCGCAATGTTTGTTTTCTGGAGCTGCTTCACTGTTTCTGTTTGACATCGTTAATCTTTGAGGTCGTCTTATTGGTCCCATCATGGTCACATGGTCTCAGATGTTTTGGTATAATGCCGCTCCCACCTGCAAACGCTCTGTAGTACAACCGCATTTTTGTGTGCGTGTGTGTGTGTGTGTG